GCATTCTTTATACATTTCCTTGTGGTTTTGGTCCTTACAACATATCCACTACTAATGCAGATAAATATTCATTCACAGACTGAGGTTGACTACAGGATATTGCATTTACTGAAGTCTTTTTGTATCTACCCATGGGTGGTATGTTGCATATACATTTGCATTCGTAGAAAGATTGTAAGTACTACAGATCTTCTATCCTTGCTTGTATGTAGATCAGTGTGCTTATTTATATATTGATATAGATTGCTGGAGTGTTATAAAACAATTGTTTCATCTACTAAGTTTCCTTCACACCCCTTTGCATTTTGATTAGCTTGAAGATCTCCCAAAATTCCTTGAGAACTCTATATTATTGATTGATTTTAAGCATGTTGTTATCCTTTTAATTTGATCTCTATTTGCAAGAAGATTGTTGTATTCGTTGTAATTCTTCTAGTGTTGCTTGTATGGATGTTGTATACATTGCAAATGTAGAAACTTCTGTCATCATTTGAGGTGTGACGAGCATTAAAACCTGCTACATTTGTTGCATGTCGAGTTCTTTTACCCAAGGGGAACTGTTGTATAAATAAGGAGTCTTCTACGGCGACTCGTAGGGACTTCCACATGTACTTGTAAAACCACTACATGAAGTGTTATTGTTTGCAATAGAGTTAATAAACTTGCTTGGAGTTGAACATCATTGATTGTGCATAGACCTTCCTTTTTCGTGATGCTTAAGAGTCATTTGCTCTTTCTTGCTTTTCCATCAACTTTTATTTACAAGCAAGTTATGTTCTTGTTCGTGGTATAAGTGATAACACCAACATTTGATATTAATTGGCGATTCACATTCCAATCAATGTGATGATTCTTTGATGTCTCAATGTCACCTTAAAGTTTTTTGTTTTGATTGTGAGCATATCATGTCCAAAGTTCTTAATCAAGTGTAGGTGAATGCACTTTCTTGTTCTCATATTATTCCTCGTAGGCAATGAGTTCCCTTTTATTCAACTCAGAATCAAGTTCAAAATAAGTTCAATCTTAAATTCAAGTTCTAGGCTGAGTTTGAATAGAAGTTCAAATCTTTTTCCATATTCAAGTTCAAGTCAAAAATCCTGGCACTAAGTTCATTTGGGTTCAAGTTTTGTCTTGAGTTCAATATGTCGGTTCAATTCAAGTCCAAGATGAGTCCAAGTTCATTGTCATTTGTTGCAAGTCCAAATTCATGTTTGATTTCATTTAGATTTGAGTTCATATAAGTTTGGTTTATGCTCAATTTTAACTTCAGTTCATTATCCAAATCAAGCCCTTTATTTGCCCAAATTTTGTTCGAGTTCCTTGTGCCTTCAGTCGAAAATTTGACAGGCGTCTCCTCCATTTAGGGGAAATTTTGGGAGACTAGCCTTCCCCTCCACGCCACATGGGCGCTTCAAGTAGATGCGTAGACACCACGACTGCATTCTCTTCAATCCTTAAGATCCTAGAAGAGCGCTTAGGGGTCTTGGACACCTGTTGAAAAGAGCACTGGGATTTTCCCACGTATGGATACTTATTTTTGTCCCCCTCATGCTACATGAGTGGTCCGGAGATTACGCACCTCATCACAAGCGTCGTGCTGGTTCCCAGCCCTATTACGCCACGTGAGTGCGTAGGGGGTTTGTCGGCTCGTCGCTGGCGTCGATAGCATGATTTAAGTTTAGAAAATATACCTTTGAATATGGACCGGCTCGTGGATCGAGGCGAGGGAAGGGGCATGCATATATTTTTTTTAAATTATAATTATAATTAGTTAATAATTAACTATAATTAATTGAAATTAATTATATTTAATCAAACAATTATAATTAATAATTAACAACTAATTATTAATTAATTATAATTATAATTAAATATAATTAATATTAATTATAATGAACCCCTTCTCTCTGTTTCAGACGAATTTACTGGATTTGGCTGAAGAAACACTCGAAAGGGGGAAAGTTACCTTCACAGATGGCGAGCTCCCTCAAAATATCATAACTTCCAATCCTTAGGGAAAGTCGTCGAAGGGCGAAGTCGAACAACCCCGAAGGGACCGAAGTGTGCAAATGGGAGAAAGTTTCCTTCACAGCACATGTGCTCACGTTGTTGCTTCCGATCAAATGTCATAACCTCCGCACCGACAGGAGGGGAAAGTCGTCGAGGGAGCGTGGTCAATCGGGAACGAAGGGTCGAAGAAGCTACTTCACAGCGAGCGAGCTCCAAGTCGTAGCTTCCGATCAAAGTGATGTAACTTCCGATCCCTCAGGAAGGCAAAGTCGCCGAAGGAGCGCAGTCGAACAGCACGAAGGAGCCAAAGAAGCAGCGAGCTCTCTCTGTTTCTTTCGATCAAAGTGTTGTGACTTTCGATTTGACCTGATGGGAACGTCGTCAAAGGAGCGCGTGAGAGGATGTGGAAGAGAGCGAAAGAAGAGCCCGAATGCCTCATTCCCGTGACCTTTTAACAATGCGAAGTTGAGATCGTGCAGAGCAAGGTTGGAGCGGTCTCAACGTGCAAACGACGTGCATGGCTCAGGTACGACGCTTTCCCTCCTTTTTTTTGTTTTGTTTGCTCAGATATGCAGGTCAACACGAGGGCACTTGATCTTTTGGCTCGACTCGACTGGATCAAACAAACCATGGGAGTATGGGGAAGCAAATCAACCCCGACAATATCTTCAAGTCTACAATCCACTCGGAAGAATCAAATTGATGGCCAAGGGCTTCGGGAGACCATATCAACCCCGGGACTTCCTTCAATCTTCAATTTGTTGCAAATTGATAATTAAGTGACTTAGTTTTAATTTTTTTAAAATATTTTTATTCCCCTAAAAAATCAGGCAACCTTTCGGCACCCCCTCCCGTGAGGGGAGGTTAGGGAGGGCACTTGCTCTTTTCGCTCGACTAGACCGGATCAAATCAACAGCGAGGAATTTGGGGGAGTAAATCAACCCCGACAATAGTCTTTCAATAATCGATCCACTCGGCCAGATCAGATCGTGGGAAGCAATTGTGGGATCGTGGGAACGTGGAGTCGGTGGTTGGGTCCGATCATGGGCTCACGTGACTTCTTCGTGAGTTCCATTCAGTATTTACAGGTCAATAATGAAGTCAATTTCGCTCATAATAAAATCTTTGTAAAATATAAATGAATCTTCTTTTTAAATGAAAAACCTTTCATTAACTTCAAGAGATTTTATCATATCTTATAGAATCTTAAAATAAATTCATTTCAAAAACATTTCTTATTATTATAAATAAAATCTTAAAAGGAAAGGTTAGACATCACAAAACCACAAGCAAATAAAGAGAAAAAAGAAAGAATCGAGAGAGCAGCTATCAATTGAAAAGACAAAATAGTTTTTCTAGTGCTTGTAAAAGGGAGGTTTTTCACTTCTTCAAAGAGATATTTCTGGTATTTATACCAAAGTAGAATAAACTCCAATTTAGCCTCTTGCAACAACAACAAAAAGGAAGAGAGTAACATCTCGTTTGGTCCAACTCTCATCGTCTTAATAGATGGCTATACTCTCCCTCAGTTGATAGAATAATTAATGTGATATCTTTATCCTTACCTCTAACTTTATGCCCATTTTATAGTTATGCATAATTAAATGCAATCTCTTCTTATACCCATTTTGAAGCCTAGTAGTTATTTGATATATGTGCAACCAACGATACAGGTAAATATAATTAAACTACATAACTTTTATATATTTGTGTTTGCATATTTTTTGTATTTTGTTCTGGTCTTTATGTGTTTTGTTCCTTCTAAGAAACAATCAGATCATCAATAGACGTTTTGGATTAAGAGTGACATGGATTATTATGTGGTAAGAGATTATACTAATCTTGGCCAAATTTTATTAGAAAATAATATGCCTAATTTTATGTTGTGAAAGCATCAATCAAGGAATAAGTATGATGAATCAGAAAATAAATGCAAAAGGGGTCAAACATCAAAATAAAGAAAATACCAAATTTTACGTGGTTCTACTCAAGAAAGCCTACATCAAAAATCATGTCATACAAGAAAAATGAATACTCATCAGCCATTCTCAAAACTCAAGTACACTCTCACTCAATTAAAAAATCTCAAGTCTTTGAAGATAAGAGAGAATAACTTGGAGAAATAATAAAAAAAAGATGATTATATGAATACAAGAAAATTATCCGATCCAAAAATCCTTTTAAAAAGCACTATAAATTCACCAAAATGATGTCTCAAACTCTTGGAAATACACTTCTTGTGGTTATTTTCTTTTTTCTTTATGCTTCCCTCTCCTACTCTCTCTTTTTAATTCCTACTCAACTCCTTTACATCAAAAAAAAAAAACCTAAAGATTGTCTTATGCTTCTATGCCAATTAATCTTCACTGCATCAAATTATCTAGTCAACAATTCAATATTAAATTATCCAACTCATATACAAGCTTTCAGACATGTAATTTATGAATGAATATTAACTTAATAATAGGAAATCATCTAACCCATTTTCAAATGTCATACAAGAAATATTAAACCAAGCTCATTATGTAATTCATGCATGATATTCAATACTTAACAACTTTACCCAACCAAATAAGTCGGAAGTGGGACTCAATATTTATAAGATCCCAATTTGCTACCAACCACTATCTAGCTAAACTCTACAAGCTTGTTACCTACCACCCTAAGTTGATATTAGGAGTACAATTTTTATAGCAAAAATCACATGTAAAAATTAAAAGGTTTAACATTGAAGCTATGTAAGGTAATTTTTTGTATCACCAACAAATTGATTAGTAGCATTGGTCAAAGCTTCAAATCACTAAAGTTACAAGAAATGGCAGCGTGAAGAAATCTTGTAAATATAATCTATAGAGCTACATAGTATCTGTTCAGAAGATTGTAAGCTTAAGAATTAACAGAAGTAAAATTCATGAAAAAATGATGACCTGGCAAAAAGGATGACTGCTTAAAGTTTCAATACAAAAGTTTTTCTAAGCCAAATCACTTACGAAATTTTTGGGGAGAGAGCATTCTCTAAAGCTGCTCCAGAGATAGTAGGATCGCTATTGGCTGGAAAAGGTGCATTAGCTTTGACCAACTTTTTCTTTGGGACAACCATGAGGCCTAGTTGTTTGAGCTTTCGAGATATATAAGTAGGAGATATTTTCCCATCAGAGTCCAAAGCCGCTGCTATAAGACGGCTGCACTGTCGTTCATTTTTATACCTGAAAATTTCCAACAAAAAAAAAAAGCAAATACAAAAAAAAAAGAACAAGATCATTTATGCTCACCATGAAATTCACAAAAAAATGTAGCTAAATGGTCCCTTCGCAATTGTGTTTGCTTATTTATACTTGAAAATTTCTTATTGATAACAAGAAATTTCTAGAAAAGTATAATGAAAACTATGTCGCTCTAAACCAAGAAATGAAACAAGTTGCAAAAAGATCTCTAGCTCAGAGTTTTTAATCTCACTTTTCATATAGTTCATTTATGATTGTGTCTTGTTCTTTGGTAAAATCAGGATAAATATCTCTTCTCGAAGTTCCCTCAGCTTGTTGACTATGAGTGATTTCACTGGATACATCAAGAGGGGAAACAATAACAAAATTAGATAACCATCCACAATTAAAAGGCATCTAAATAATCACTCTTCATGATGACATCTTTTTATTGTTACTGACCATGTATTCTTGCTTATCGCATTTTCTGAGGTATAAGCCACGGTGCTCTTTTTGACTTGACTTGGCTTGGTTCTATAAGAATTACCTTCAACAGAATCAGCTGAATGTTCTGCCCTAATTTTTAGAAGGATGAGGCAAAATCTTAAGAAATTAGCCATGAAAATGAGGATAAAGAGCTTGAGATTCACAATCTTGAAGAAGAAAATTTAAATAGCTACACCTTCGGTCATGGTGTATTTCAGGCAAATCCAAGTTGATTTCATCTTCACCAAGAGCATCTGCTATGCTTCTATAGCCCATCTCTCTATGACAATTAAATGCCCCGGTTGGTTCATCAAACATCTTTCTTATATCTTTTTTCAGCTTGCCAATGCTTTCCATAAGAATTTCAGCATTGAAATACTGACATTCTCTACGAGTCTTCCAAAAGAGAATTTCAACAAAAAGCAAGGGCTGAATTTTCATCATCTTAAACATCTTTCTTATAAACTTGGTAAGAAAATTTACGATGTTCATGTATTCCCTGGATTTACATATCTTTTGCTCAGCTAAGATATCATAAAATATAGTGAGTAGTGATAGCTGCACGAGAGGACAATAATGCATATCAATGAAAGTTCTCTGGGGGATGTAAAATGAGCTACTTCACATGGTTTACCTGATAGAACATGGGGGAAAGCTCCAAATCCTCACAGAACCGACTCAGCATGCATAAGATATAGTGATTAGTGCTAGCAGAGTTGGCCTTATAATGCTTCAATAACCAGCATAAATTATGGATAATAGTGTTGCTTGCAAAACTAGAAACCATTGCGGAGATGTTAAAATTGACTTCACTGGTTGCAGGCTCTTCAATGTTTGAAGAACTGCTTGTTTCATATTCTTGATCAACTGGTTTCTCATTTTCTTCATCATCCTGAACAGCAGCTGAATGGTCATGCGAGTGTTCGGTATTCTGTAGAGGAATGTTAGGCGCAACTGCTGGGCTAAGGTTGAAGGACCTTTCTTCGTTAAATTCTTGCTCCCTCTCAACAGAATTTAACTCCAAATGTTTCTCCTTAACCGACATGCCAGGGTCTATGCACATTTCAGAGACAGGTTCTACACGTTCATGAGCAATTTCTGGTTCTTTTGTAAGTTCTGATTCTACTTCAGTCATGTCATTTGAAGCCTTGTCTCTCACTCTTCTTCTTCTAAACTTTTTAGATACCTGAAACATGAAGTAATTTCCAGTATCAAGGTTCATTGCAAAAGCTTTCTGTCATGTAGTAAGATTAAAATTATTGTTACACAGAAAAAGAAGCTCAGAACTCGTGAATAATACTGCCAGAGACAAATACTAGAATAGAATCTGCTATGAATGCTAAATACATGTTAAAACAATTGAGTGCCTAATTCCCTAGACATGAAAAGATCTACGAAAGTCTGACAGGAACAGCCATGCAGTATTTTAGAAAGTACATAAATATTTTTTAAATCACATACCCTTAATGTGCCGTGAGCCTGAAGTTTCTCCACAAGCCGTAACATAATATGTATGATTTCTAACAGATCTGCAAGATCACTGATAATGAAAAGAGGAATTAGTTTGAAGATACTATAATATAGTTATGTGCATGAACAACATCGCTGCTACTTTAATAATGTCTAAAAGTGTTAAGAAGTGGAGACCTTTTTTTTTTTTTTGGTTCAATTCAAGATGAGTACACAATTAAAAAAAAAAGGCTTTTATGGATAAATACCTAAATTAGTCCTTGGATAATTATAGGTTCAAAGTTTGTTGCAATTATGCCATTGTGGATTAGATTTGAAATGCAATCTGAACATATTTTTTGTTTTGAATTTCAACCTCATTATCTCTAGAAATACAAGACCAGAACAGAGCATTTTTTTTTCCAGTCCTTGTAGCTTGGCTGTGGGTTTCGCTGGTGGGAAATGAGATAAAGGATAGCTAGACAAAGAAAACAAAAAAGAAAAGAGAGGGGGTGGGAGAAGAGGAAGGAAATGGATAGAGAAAAACAAAGAGGAAGGAAGAAAAGAAAAGGAAATCAGCTCTCTTATTTTTAACATGGTAAACAGTTTCAATGTGGTGCAAGCTTGATGGTGCTATGTAAGCATGATGGTGTTGCAAACAAGTTTCAGTGTCGGAGGCAAGTCTAGTAGTGCAAACAATTATAGATTGCTATGAATAAGAAATACAACACAAGGACTTTGGCATCAGTGCAGTTAACTAAGAAGATATGGTCTTGAATGCCTTCAGCATCCAAACAGAAAATCAATAATCTTGGATCATCGATTCTAAATCCTCTGATTATACAACAAGGGATGCCTCCTTATTTCAAACCTTCCATCTATGTTTAAAAAACTATACAGTCAAAATTGTTGATGGATTAACATAACAAATAACTGAAATTGAGAATATCAATCTCTCTCTAGCTTGCTAATTCTTAACTCGGTTAGATTGATTTCTAATCTTTCTTGCAATTTATTACCAATCAGCAACATTACCAAGATATGAATTGAACATGAAATTCCTCTTGGCCTAATAGTTGGGAGCTTTTGCTCCAACCATATTTCCATTGGTTTGTGGCCTAGCATATGCGTTGTGTGAAGTTTAAGATTAAATTCGTTCAAAGTCCCCCCAAAATAAATATAAATTAGATTACTAAATATTTTCCTATTTCTTGTGAATTTTAGGATATGGGCATAACAAATGATATTCTCTACCTACTAAATTATGAAGCGAATCCTAAGATACCTGAGAAAAAAAAAACTCAATAACAAAAACGCAATAATGTCATGACACATTTGCCTTTAGTCATCCAAATTTTATATACCTAAAAAACAATTCCCCACTTATTTTATTAACTCATATCCAAAAGCAATTCAATATAAAACTTATCAATTACCTAAACAAACTCAAACTTCTAGTCATCCTTATGAAACCTCTCAACCTTTTATGATAATCCAAAATAAAATCTTAAGATCAGCTACGTGAACAAAACCTCAAGTGCTAGGTGATTTATATCTTTCATTGATAACAACACAAGAATCACCTGGAACTTTCTAATGAAAGGCAAATCTGAAACTCTTTTTAATTTTTTTTAAATTTCACTTTTTTGTAAAAACCCTATATAAGTTTTTAGAACTAATAATGGGAAAGAATATTTCATTCCATTCCAAGAAAATATCTCATCTAACAAGAAATTGTTCATGAAAATTCTCGTATATGTATTCCTCAACAAAATGAAATAGCACACAAAAAAAGATAACCATCTCGAACTTGTATGATCGATTTTGGTCACTAATAACATCCCAAAACATTATTAAGGGGAGCTTGTCCTGTTGCACATCTCATTAATTATATGCCATCAAGAATCCTCTAGAGGAGTTCAATTACCATGCCTTTGTTCATATTCCTCACCAAATAAGCAAACTTGCCCCTAAAGCTATAAAAAGCATTTTTAGATGGATACTCCCTACAATAATAAGGATTCAAATTTTATTCTCCGAGTACTTAAAAATATTACATCATCATGAATATAACCTTCTTCAAAAACCAATCTGTCTCTCCGTGAATGAGTTTTGTTATAAAATCAATCCAAGCTTATTAGTATCTTGACCAACAACTCTTTCAAACCTACTTGAATCTTAGCCATCTAAATATCAACCCCTCAAATATCACGTCCGAGCAAAGCATGCCATAACTCGGCCCAATATAGCCCACAAACAGAATGGGTCATACCGTATCGAATGGTAACATGATCAAATTATTAGGATCTAAATTGGAGAGAATTTTAGAACTTTCAAAAACTTGCTAATACAAAACCGCTAAAACTTTAATTTAAAAAAAAATACTGATTATGAAGAGCTCTTTCATTCATCTCAAAAATATTTAGAATCAAAATAATTGTATACAAATAATAAATAAAAATCTAATCAATTGTTCGACCGTCTATTTTTGCCTCGTTAATTCGAGCTTCCGAATAAGGTCGTGACGCATAGCTACCAATAAGAATCTTTCAATCAGGTTAGGTCGACTACCTCTTCTAAGAGGTTTAAAATAACCTCGTACAATGGAACCAGAACAAAACTCTCAGAGTAATGTCTTATATATAATATAATCTCTCTTTTAAAAATTTAAACCAGAACAAAACTCTTTCAAAAGATTCAAGAGTGAATTTTCCAATCCCACACCCTCCTATTTGAATTCCAAGACCCTTGACAACTTCCCTCCTATTTGAATTCCTATACCCTTGACAATAGAGTGCGGGAGATTGAGAAAGGAGCTAATGATCCATATCTCTCATGTTTTCCTTCTAGTTCCCCTTCTCTTCTCACCAACAGCTCCTTGGCATCGATGTAATACCATCACAACTTCTCCCTTACAGTCAATTTTAAGCATGCTAACAAGCAGCTCCAACATCCAAACCTCCCATCTACTAAGTCAACTCAAAAACCAACAAAACAAGCTATTGACAACCATCATGGCAGCCTTTGACTCTTATATTCACCTATCTCAACCTCTTCCCCCTTTCTCTCCCTTCCACTCTCGTTCTTTATCTCTACCTTTCTTTCTTTTTCTAAAATAATTAGAGATTGAGTTAAGAAAAAGAAAAGGGAAGAAAAGAGAAGGGGAAAAATATCATGACCCAGCCCGGAGGCAAGAATAGACGATCTGACGGTAGATTAAATTTTATTTACTAAATCAATCTCCAATACATTGAAAGAGCCACTAAAACTTCAAAAAAAAATATATACTAATAAAAATGAATTAAATACCTTTTATTCAGCCCGTAACCTCTATGGTACACATTTTCACCTCTTCTACTCATTTTGATTATATTAAATTATACATGAAAATGTTAGAGGAACTAAAAGTAAGCTATAACTCAATGAATAAAACAAGCTTATAAATTATAATAACCGAAGGCAATTGGAATAATATGCATGAGCATTTCAATTCATATCATAAAGTAATTCCATTTATATTCATTTCAAAACTTTTAATATTATGCATATACAATATATTTATCTATCTCTTTCTTCTTTCTCATAAATAATGCAACTATCACAGGAGTCATCGTCTAATTTAATACCAATGTAGGTACTTATTTTCCATTTTCTTTTCCTTTTCTTTAGCTTTTTTCCATTTACGTGAATGGGTATATTGTATCCCCATCCAATACATAAGAGGTGTGTTCCATCAGTCAACATGCACATGTAATCACATATATCTAGTCATTTCATTCATATTATATTCATTTACTTTATACAGTAATATAAAATATAACATGTTAATTATATTAAATCATTTAATATGCAAGAGATGAATCATTTGCAAGAACAATTAAATGTAATCAGTATCAATACAATTGTCATAATATAGAAACATGCATACCTTGATTTAGGTGCCTTAACAATTTACTTTAATAATTACTCAATCGTTGACAGTTTGATATCTACATAATTATTAATTACATTATAGTTTACAATTTATCTTTAACTCATAATATTCTCAATTTTTAATATTAAAATTACTCCCATAATTCTAACGATTAAGTATTATTTTATTATTATAATATTTCTTTATACAACATAAATTTCACTTTTGTCTCTAATTACTTATTAAAATAACTAATTATTCTTGTATTTTATTTATCAGATTATGATAAAATTTATTCTCTCTCTAATTAACTAATAATTAAATATACTCTCATTTTTTAATAATTTTTTTCATTATCTTTTATAAATAAATATATTTGTAATCAAAACTCTAATATACTTCTATCTTTTAAATATATATTTTTAAATATTAAATTTATATTTATTACATAGTCTAATCATTTTAATAAAAGAAACACAAATACTTGCCTTTTGCTCAAACTCCTTTTCCTTGATCGCCCAAAACACGACTCCTTCATCATCTTCAATCAACAAAGCTGGTTGTGAACAGAAGGCCAAATGACATTGACGCTCCTTCTTCCTCTCAGTACAATTCCCTCTCAGCCCAAAGCTTCTCACGCGTTTTGCATCACTAGAGTGAGCGAAACGAAAATATCTCCCATAAGGAATCGCTTCTTTTCGCTTTCCAATGCGCGTCCTCACTCAAACGCACGGTTCGTCCCCGCCAGCTGCACCCGAGATCGCAATTTTGCTACTCGAGTCGCCTACTTCGTCCGTCGTGTCGTTCGATCCTACTATTTGATTAAAGCTGGTCAATTGAACCGACTGGCTGGACCAATTCTTACAAAAAAAAATAGTAGATATTCCAAATAAAGAAGTATTTAAAAAAAAAAGAAATAAAGGACAAAAAAGAGTGATTGTGTCTTTTCTCGCCCATCATCTCGAATAATCAATCACAACACTACCTAGTACATAAAGGTATAATGCAAATGCAATATCGCCACATTGCCAAATATAAATACTTCTATGCATCTTTCTAAGCACAATAGGGAAATTAAATATTGTGTTTCTCGTGCAGGTGACTCACACATACTTTTTTGGCATTATAGAAAGAAATCATATGCACTTTTCTTGGCACATTAGAGAAAAAGGGACAAATCACCAAAGAAAATAATCATATGCATCTGTCTTGATGTGATAGGAAAATCTCTTACAAAATTTTCATGCATTTACGAAGACACATGTGTCTTGCTTAACGACTTAATGTGGTGAGGTAAAATACCTAGCCAAGTTTGTTACAATATCTAGCCGAGTGTTTTACACCACATATACATGGCTTTTTGTATGGTGGGCAAACCTAACGCTCCACCGAATACCCCTATGTGTGAGAGACCCCAAGGGACTGTCAAAATTTTTAATGATAAAAATTAAAAAAAGAACAAAATGAAAGGAAGCTTCTAAACTATCAATGTGACAAAGAATAAAAATGAAAAGCTATAAAATTTGTAAAAATAGGACAAAATGAACACTGAAAATACACTACATGTCGTAAGGACTAAAACCAAGCTAAACCTACAAAGGAATTATCTGCAGCCCATCTAGAACTCTCTTAAACAAACTACGGATTAAATGTAAACAAATTGGGTTGCTCTAAATCCACAACAAGAACCTAAATTAGGATAAACTCGCAACCAAATCCGCAACATACACATGCAAGCAGACAAAATATGATCTCTTTAAAGCACAAAATAAAATATTATGCGTATTACATCGACAAATATTTGGACAAATGATTAAATCTCCTGAAAACAAATCTTAAAATGAATTAAAAAGCCTCAAAAAATTGCATAAGTGCATCAAGTAAAATAAATTTCTCAGTCTATGCCTCCACAAATGTGTTAAATGCTTGCCATTCAAATTTCTCCCACTCCGAGAAGCTTGTAATCACTATGAAATTTAAGAGAAACTCCTCTTTGTTTTAACTTAAGACTGATCAACATGTTTTACACATACTCTCAAGCACGCTATCCTGCCTGTAAGGTAGGGTCATAAATCCCATACTTTGAAGTTTTATCATTTATGTTCTTAAGATTAAAGTTAACAAGACTTCTACCGCTTAATGAATTATTGTAACATCAAGTAAAAGAGGGTATTCTAATCAAGTAAATTTACAATCCAAAAAAGCAAACTCACGAGGTCATCTCGGTTATACGATGGGCCATAAGTTTAAATCTTAGAAAGACCTTATTATCTACATATGTGGCTAGAGTCAACAAGGTCTGTAATGCAATAAATACTCAAATGAGTTCAAATGAGCAGATAAGCACACATGGATCCAATCCTCTATAGGCGGAGTCAATAAGATTCAAGCAATAGAATTCAAATAAATACCCCTATGAGATTATTGCACATCATAACCAAAGGTGTCTATTTTTAAATTTAAGATTTCCAATTAAAAACACAATCGATGTAAAGAGTGTTACCCCAATGTTGGGTATGGCTAGATTCATTTTCAATAAAATCAAGCTTTCAATTTATAAAGAGAAAGGCTTTAGATTTCAATACTTTGATGATGGTCGTTTTAACAACAAATCTCAATAAAAATGATCTTATTTTCAAAATACTCAAAAATTTCAAAACATATTATTTTAGACTCAAATCTCCTTAAAAAATATGAAAATCCAAAAAAATATAAAAAAATAAAAATATTCAAACAAAATTCACCACTTAAATATTAAAGCAAAACATCATAACAAATGATCAAAAGGCGATAAATTTAAGATAACCTAAACTCACTAAGCCTTTTATTAATTAAGATCGATTTAAAATTATCCCCATAAAAATAAGTATCCACCCCAGGTCTTTATGATTCCCTTAAACAATGCAATACATGGTTGCTAAAAATTATTCTTCGATCAAGTTGGGTCGACTATTTTTTATGATTATTTTTGCTGACTAAGTAAACTAGGATCTACAACAACCCAAAATGACAGAACTATGGGATATTAATCGCATTCATCATCATCCCCCTACCATCAATTCTAAGCAAACAAGGAAAAATTTTCTCAATCATAAACAAAAATTGTTGGTACTATAAGCTAAGTATTTAGTGTATATCAAGTAGCTACAATCGAAATCTCTCTCTCTCGTGATCGAGAAGAATAATTAACTGTAAGGGCTAAAGAATAATTAGCACAAAAACACACCAATGAATCCTAAAAAATTTAGGACTAAGGATTATTCTACCCTAAATAACAATGATACCAACAGCCAATAAGGAAATTTATCTACCCATCTCACATAAGACCAAATATTTCTTTTATTTATTATTGTTAGTTTATGAACAACCCCACAAAGGAGCACCTAATGTTGTATACAAAATAAGGTATCTTAAAGGGTTCCTAGAAAAGGAATGTTGTTCAGAAAGGTAACTAACACAAGTAAAAAAATATTTACTGATGTTGATTGGGCTAAATTTGTGATAGATTATAAATCCAAATTAGGATTGCTACTTCGTACGTAGAAATTTATTTTCATCAAGAAAAAAAAAAAGTCTATTGTTGCTCAAAATTGAAATACAGTTTATAGGTTTTAACTACAAAACTTATAATAATGAGGTCTGACAATAAAGTTACAATTAATATTGCTAAGAATCATGCCCACCGTGATGGGGCTTAGCATCTTGAAATCTAAATACATAAATAAAAACAAAATTTATTCAAGAAATCTTCCAAGCTAATTAGGTTCTAGCGAAACTTCAAATTGTGGATATCCGCATAGAGGCTATTAATATTTCTTGCGAATTTTGCGGGTTCGACAGTCCGAGGTGCGGGATTTCTGCACGGTTTTGTGGATCCAACAGGTATGCAATGTATGTATGCTGGATTCATGGTTTCTTTTCCTCTTGTTTCATTTATGCAGAGGTTAACATATATATAGAAAGTCCACATATTAGTTCCTCAAGTCATGCTCCTACAAATCACTTCGACAACCAGCATACCGCCAACTTGTCGCCAACAACCAAGATTGAAGTATAGATACAACCAGCTAGTAGCAATATCAACTGCACCATCTCCTGCCAGCCATAGTTTCCTCGTTAGAATGATTCATTTCTTCCCACAATATTGTATTGCAAAATTAATTGGGCAAATTTCTTTCTTAGGTTTTCCCATTCTTTATGTGGTAAGTTATTGCCCTATGTAATACCTTGTTTTTCCATTCTAGGAGACCTTGTATCTCCTGTAGATTGTGTAAAATTTATATCATTTGAAAATAAGAAAAATGGAAATATTCTTCCCTTATATGTTTCAATGATAATATATTATAAATTGCTAGGATAAGACTAATGATAATGATGAGATAATTTATTTTTAATAATAAGATTGAATTTTAAACAAAAAGACCCTTCTAAACTTACGGAGTGAAACTAAAAATACCAAAGAATTTCAAATTTATATTTAAGGATTTAAATTTAGAATAAGATTCTGTAATCAAACCTTCTAGGTTGTTTATGAGAATCAAAACATTTGAACCGGTTCAGAAGGAACTGTGTAAATCCCTCATCTGTCTGATCATAGAACAATTTATAGAACAGCACACGAGCTGTTTGACACTCTTTAGAATCTTCAGGTAGCAATTTCATCACCAAATCCAACATTCGAACCTGCAGAAAAAGATCAGAAGTTAAATCACCATTTCAATTTTTCAAGGAAATGGAAGGACCGAGATCTGGACAAAACTGCTTAGGATGTCATAGTAATAGTCATTTTACATATAAGCCAATTAATTCAATTACAAAAATGATAACACGAACTAGTCACAGATAGAAAATTATATTTCATGCAATCAACTTAAATAATTTGAGCAAAGTAATTCATTAGAAGGAGATTGATAAAAAATATCAGGTCTATCATTATTGCCATCAAGAAGCTTCTAGAAATCAATAGAATTTGATGAAAAACTTCTCACAGCTTAGAGCTTCCTAGGACATGCATAGAACAATTTATACAACAGAACACGAGCTGTTTGACACTCTTTAGAATCTTCAGGTAGCAATTTCATCACCAAATCTAACATTTGAACCAGCAGAATCAGATAAGCAGTTAAAAGAAAAAGGTCATTAATGGAAAGCATAGAACAATTTATACAACAGCACACGATCTGTTTGACACTCTTTAGAATCTTCAGGTAGCAATTTCATCACCAAATCTAACATTTGAACAAGCAGAATCAGATCAGCAGTTAAAAGAAAAAGGTCATTAATGGAAACTCATACAATACCACGTTTTTTAACAAATAATCCACTACAGCAAAAAGTGCTCACAGTAATTGAATCACCCTACATAAATATGTTAAAAGACCAGACAACCTCAGTTCTGTTCATTCAACTACATTTACTAAGGCTTCATTTTAAACAGTTTTCTTCCTGCCTTTTAAAGCAACTTTTTAGTAAAAAGTTCTTAAAAACAGTGAAAAAATAGCAGTCTAAAGCTATCCAAAATGAAGCCTAAATTTGACACTTAAAGGTGTTCTCACCATACTATTGAAGAAAGAAATTTTGGGCAGTTCATTCAGAACAGTGGATATATGTTGATTTACCAATAAATTCTATTCAGTGGGCCGTACATGCCAAAATCACCATATCAAGTTTTCAAGCAAATGGAAGGACCGAGATCTGGACAAAACTGCTTAGGATGTCATAGTACTAGTCATTTTTACATATAAGCCAATTAATTCAATTACAAAGAATGGTAACACGAACTAGTCACAGAGAGAAAATTATATTACATGCAATCAACTTAAATAAATTGGGCAAGTAATCCATTAGAAGGAGATTGATAAAAAATATCAGGTCTATCATTATTGCCATCTAGAAGCTTGTGGGAATCAATAGAATTTGATGTAAAACTTATGCTTAGAGCTTCATAGCATATGCATAGCATGAGAAAGAAAGATTTATAAATAGAAAGCTTGATTCACTATTTTGTTAAAAAGAAAAAATAAGTCAAAGGAGACCCAGCTTTTGAGCAATTAGAGGGAATTTAATACAAGATCTCATTCGGAAAAATAAACAAAAATGCAAGGAGATCCGGCTTTGAGCAATTAGAGGGAATTTAATAAAAGATCTCATTTGGGAAATAAAAAAAGGCCATGCCAAGGATACCAAGTTTTGTCCTTCTACATCGACTACAAATATAATAGAAGTGTGTAACAAACATTCCCGAATGGTGTGATTTGTATTCGGTAGCATCAACATAGACCATGATGCTTAGCTTGCTAAGGTTTTCAACATCGTTTGGTCTTCAGATGGCAAAGGATAATGTGATTGCTGTGGTCCTATATGACGTGTCCATTGCTATTGCATGAGCAATACAAACATTATGGGAGCAATGAGCAATGTCCATTCTTTAGATGGCGGCGAAAAATGACAGGCAATACTACCAAAGTTATTTTAGAAGGCACATCACACAGCTATCAGTAGAGGATGGTCATAAATGGTAAACGAGCATTATTTAATTTTGGGAGGTAAGCAGAATACTTGAAAGAAACACTAGATCATAAAAGATATCATATCGGAGTTTTTTTAAAGAGTTTTTTGAAATATCTAAAAAATTATCAAAAAAATAATCCATATTAATATATTTAATGAGCATTGTAATTCTTTTTTGAAATATTCTTCGTAAGAAATCAATAATAAACATTATAGATCACACACTCCTATGATCAATTTGTGATTGAACAGTTCTTGTAAATTAATCTAGCCAACCGGCTAACTCCAGATGACCAAAATGACTGGTCATGACCCGACAAAGGCAGCTACAATAATATCTTAAATCAATGAGTTGAGTATATCAAACACAAGCAGTGACTTCGCAAGCATATTCTTTCAACAACCTTCGTCAGGGTTTTTAAATAATTTCACTTAATTCTTTTAGACCTTCTTGACTCTGCCAACTTGCTAGTAGAGGATCAATCTCAGTTGTGATCTTTTTTTCTTTTTTTTTTTGTGAGGCATTATCATACATAAAATTTGAACATTTAGTGCACTCATCGTAGCACATGCAATTGTTTCAATTCAAAAAAGAGATTCTAAATAAACTTGCTCTTAACTCTATGCAATATTCTAAGACTTTGTATTCAAATTTTTAGCACATTTGACGGAGCATGTGCAAAAATATGAGCAAAAATCTTACTTTCCTTCGAAAAGGTGTCCACTATTTTCAATGTGTTTGTATGATGCACTTGCATATTTTTCGGACCAATTATAATGTGTGTTTGCATACTTTCCAAGGCATTTTTGTGCACTTTTAAGTGCACTCATGTGATGCACTTGCATACTATTTTATGAATTTGCATAATGTGGCCACACACTTTCAATGTACTTCATTTATTATGTATTATTCATAGTTTTAAAATAGGTACCTTTTTTGAAGCAACAGCACACTCTTCGAGGCAATAGCATACTACTCCAAATTGTGGCTGCTTCTCAAGCCTGTGACATGCTTCTAAAAAAAATGACACGCTTCTTGAAGAATTGAAAAACTTCTCAAGAATATGCACTAGTTTTTATAAGTTATGATGTGATGTAGACAAGATCTTAAAAATATTCGTGTTTGATTGTTTGCACGAGAGTTTGTCGTTGAAAGGCATGCAATGCTTTCATTTTTAAATTTCCAAAAGATCACCTCTGTGCCTTCTTTCTGTTTGCATACTTGTGTTACAAATTTGGTGGCATTTGTTACAAATAGGAATCTTTTAAGTACTTTAGGATGTGATGCCATTTTATCTTTAAATGCATTTATCATTTTGCGCAATGGGTCCCATGGGGAATCATTCCTCCTTCCCATAATAGAAGGGGTACAACTTGGCTCACTTTGTCGTTCTCAAATTCATTTGAGTTTTCATTTTGTTCAAGAGTGATTGAGATAGTCTTGAGTGCAATCGAAAGATTCTATTTGCAACCATAAGCAAGTCGATTCGCTAATCACAAGTCTTCGATATATTCATTTAGTCCAATATTTTTTTTTAGTTAGAGCTAAATTTTCTTTTTAGTCCAATATGGTCATTTTTATGTTATGGTCTTTGACTTTCTATTTAAATTATATTTTTATAATGAGTTATTAGTAATTTTATTCTTTGTGGGTCCATTTAATCTAAATTTTGACAATCTCCCAAAAATTCCTTGGCACAGGGGCACCATCGTGCATCTTAGGCCTACTAAACGCGCTTAGAAAATCGAGATGGTTGGTAATGCAACACCTTGACCGACATCTTCTACCCTAACAGCCAACACGCTTAAAAGAGTTGGAGTCTTCATTACAAGCATGAACAAAAGCACAAATTTTCCCGCAACTTTGGAATAACACGCAAGTGTACTATTTCCACAAATTTCCCAAACATGCATGCGTAATTATTTTGCAAATTTATCCCCTGCATTAGAACAACACCACAAGTATTTCTTTAAAGAAATTAAGTACTCACTCGCTTGTTTTGCAAATTTCCTTGTTGTTTTATTCCTTGACTATCTTAAACAGGTTTAATCAAATCGGTCTCTTATTTTTTCAATGCATCAACCAAGCGAAAGAAGCAGTGAAACCGAAAGAGAGGAAAATAGGAGTTTAGGGTATATATATATAGTGAAAATGAAAAGTTGAAGGAGGAGAATTGTTTATTATTGATGTTTGTTAAAATATTTGTACTCGACGAGAGGAAGAAGAAGAAGAAGAAAGAGAAGTTCGTGAGTCTCCATTTCGATGAAAAGGAAAGTGTAAGTGATTTTTTTTTTCTTATTTTATGTTCAAATCTAGAAAAGAAATAAATGTATATTTTTTATTTTTTTTACAGAAACAGTTAGTGTATAATTATTCAATAGAAAGAAATTTAAGAGGTGATGTCTCGACTCGAATTGGAGAGAGAAAGTTTAATTGAGATAATTAATTTTAATTTAAAGATATTTAACTTCAATCATTTTAGAGATTAAAAGTAGATGATGTAACTGTAATTACTGCATGATAAATTAAAAAATATCCAATGTTGTTTTAATGATATCCGATGCATTTGAAGTTATCTTTAACAATATTTAATTTGTTGACATTACTTTGAAGATGTTTCAATTCATTAGAATTTAAACTAACAATATTTAATGAAAATAAATATTATTTTGAAAGGTTGAAAGAATTTAATTGTTGGTAGAGATGAAATATCGTAATCAAGCTAAGATTCTCAGAGAAAAGTTAGGGTAAAAGTCAAATATGTTAATACAATGTGATTCTAAAATAATTGTGTTAATTTATATATTTGTGGTCTTGATTTTAGGTGATATACTAAAGAGTACTATTTAAGAACTAAAAGAATTTAAAAATTAATTATCGGGTGTGTTCTAATGTGGTTACATTTTTATTATAATTTTATACAATTTTTATAAAATTTTCTATAATTATCAGGTGTGTTCTAATGTTATTTATATGCATATAGATATAACCATAAGGAGATGATATTTTTACCCTCCGGGGTAATATATCGTATTCTTATGCCGCGCCCGATTATAAAATATGCAATCCGTTTGAGGATACAAAAATTCTCCAACAAGATGATGCATCTGTAATAAATGTACTACTAAAAGATTACAGTTTAAAAAATTAAAAGTTTGAAGATCATTTTATC